TACATATTTTGGAGGCACCAGCATTAGGATTAAAGTGGGGGGGGGCGGGGGAGTGCGTTTTGAAGTGGTCTGTCCTGTCAGCTGCCGTTTCCTCCATAGGAGGCTGGCACGGTGATCACCTGTTTGAAGTCCGTGTTGTTTTGCTGCAGGCTAGGAAGTGGATTTTAAATACGTGCTGAGCAGTGAGAAGAAACGTGAGGCTGGCATGGTTGACCTGTTGAAGCTTCAGAACAAATGGTTCTGATGAGCTTGGGCTAAAGGACATTGGGGTTGCCCTGGCAAGTCTCTACAAATGTGGATGAGAAGGCCAATTGATTATCAATTTCATTAATTAATGAGATTGATAAAATATTTTAAAGAAAATTCCATCTAAGTCTTTGCTACTTGCATTGGCTCTCTAGTAATTTCATATAGCCGCCTTCTATGGTTTTTTTTTTATTTGTTGTATTCTTTATGATAAAAATTAAACTTTTCTTTCAGAGTTCTCATTAACCCAACCCCAAGTAGTAGTTCCATTTCTGTTGTAATATTCATTAGTGATTATATTTCTCAGGGAAAAGTTTATGCAAAGGTAAACATATACCTTTAGGAAAACAGAAACTTGTTTTCCTAGGTAAACAATCGTTAAGGAAAGGAAACATGATTGTTGTGTTGCCTTTTCCTTCCCTTTGAATTAAGTTACTGAGGTTAGTATGAAGGACACTGGCTGTACCCATTAAAGTAACTACAGGCAGTTGCTATCCTACCTGCTCCAAATTTCTTCCTGAAAATATGCTGCTAGCAATTGGCACTTCACTTAGAGTTTTTTATTTTAAGTGTTCTTTTCTTATGGGTGATTTGTATAACCAACACAAAGAAGGGAGTTTTATTTTTTTTTAAGGAAACGTTTGTCTTTGTAAAATTATAACTATGTCGGCTTCAACATTATCAGAATATTAGCTCTGTTATTGAGACTTCGTGGCTGTTTCTTAGAAAGTTAAAGCTTTGTTTTTCAGAGCCTTTATCAGTTGAGAACAGACAACCACAACTGGAAGAATCGAATGTTGTTACTGGAATAGTTTTTCTTTTCTTTTTTCTTTTTTTAATGTATGAAGCATTATATTAGAGACTGAGAGAGGACCTACTATAATGAATAAATGAAGTTTCCTTGTCTCAGAAAAGGTACAGTCTAGTGGGAGAGATGGGAAGGAAGACTCTCTGATAGCTGAGCACTTGCTGTGTCCGATGATGGCTAGATGGCTTTATAGCAGCGGTTCTCAACCTTCCTAACGCGGCCCCTTAATAGTTCCTCATGTTGTGGTGACCCCCAACCATAAAATTGTTTTCGTTGCTACTCTATAACTGTAATTTTGCTACTGTTATGAATCGTAATGTAAATATCTTTTTGTTTTCCGATGGTCTTAGGTGACCCCTGTGAAAGGGTCGTTCGACCCCTAAAGGGGTTGCTGCCCACAGCTTGAGAACTGCTGCTTTATAGAGTTTTACTCCTCAAAACAAGCTTGTTTGAGGAAATTGGAGCTCAGTAGATGTTAAATAACTCACTCAAAGATGCAGCTGTTAAGTTGAAATGCCAGCTTGCTTCTGTCCTGCTGCAAACCCCCAGGTTTCTCCACTGCGGGTGGAGTGGACAGGTCCCCAGACCAGTAGTAATGAGTCTGATGGGTGCTGTGTGTGGAGTGAGCCTGGCAGGCTTCCAACCTGGGCCTTTGCTCAGAGCACCTGGATCTGAAGGCCAGGTCTGTCTCGGTGGGTGCTCAGTCGTGGCAAGTCACTGACCTCTGACCTTTAGGTTTCTCTTACTCATCCATCCATTTATTTTTTCCGAAACTCCTCTTGTACCTGTTCTAAAAAAAGAAAAAAATTGGTATCAAATTCCCGTCAAACGATGAAGTGACTGTTGAAGAAGAGGCAGCAGAGAGGAGGTGATGGTTTAAAGGTTGCGGTTCTGGGGCCCGCGAATGCAGCTGCGTGTCAGCCCTGCTCCTTCGCGAGCACTGTGATCCCCGCCGAGGCGCTGACCCGCCTCGCACCCAAGTTTTCTTTCCACAGCACAGAGGGGATGACAGTACCTAACTCTTCGTTTGGGGGGTTAAATGCTGAACTCAGTATTTGGCACTGGTAGTCTTTAACATGTTAGTTATAATTATTGTTTGTTAGTTTGATTACTACACACCCAGTTTTTGGTTCAGGAATTTGATTTTATCAGTCTTCTTAGATTTGATAAAATTCTGTGGCCTTACACCAGCCAAACTTATGATTGGCTGATTAAACAGAATACTAACCTATTAATTTATTAAGGGAATATCATAGTGACAGGTATGTTCAGATATAGGAATACCTGTGATGTTAAGGTGACCAGGCAGACTGCATTAATGGTTATTTATTAGCACTTATTTAGTGCAAATGAAATCATATCAAAGGTAATTTTTATAGGTTGCTCTATTCTATCCTATATCTGATAGAATAGCATAGAAATGTTACTTCTCTGGGGCACGTGAGTGCTGTTGCTTGCTGGAGACACTGTGTCTCTGTGCTTGGGTATACTTTTTTTTTTTCCATGTATCTCTACTTTTTGTGTAAGATCAGTAGCTGAACCACATTAGTAATGAGATTCTGTATTTGCAGTTTCCTGTTTACCGATGGAGGGTAGTAATCTACATGTAAGGGGGTTTCCTGAGGCTGATGGAGGGTGTTGCCCTCTCCTTTCCATGCTCGCCTCTATCACGTTGTTCTTGGTTCTTTCCTTTGTGCTCAGGTGGGCCAGCCACAGGTGGTGTGTGTGTTGCTTTAATATCTGGTAGTTTGGAATTATTTGTTGACAATTCTCAGAGAAACTGGTGCTTTCGTGTCTTTTGGGACCCATAGGTACATTTAGCTGCTTTATGTAAAACGAGTCTTTTCATAAAATGATTGAGTACCAGGGAGTTTTGTTAACGTGCCCTTTGGTCGAAGTCACTCTGTGTGGGTGTGCCTTCAGAGGAGCCTGGTAGTTCTGTCCGCTAACATTTGAGGCTGTTCGGTATGATAATATAAAGATAACTCAGGTAGTGGGGAGCATCAGTGTCTGGGGGCAACAATATGATTCCCATAATAAGAACTTAGATTTATGGAAGTAAATTGTTAGAATAATTTTTGTTTCCTAGAGTGCTAGCTTAGGGGCCTCCAGAGGACGCATTGGACAGAGACTGAAGCTAAAGTGGAAGGACTTGGCCGATTACAGAGGGAGGGGGCTGTGGTGGGAAGTGGGGTGCAGGAGACCTGGGGCACAGGCCTGGCACAGAGTGAGTGTCTGAGTAAGTAGCTAACACATATACACAGTTTTACAGTTGAGGAGCATCTTTCACATTCATTGTTACTTACAAAGGTTTTAGGATTGCCGGAGTAACAGCTGGGAACATTTGAAAAGGGATCAACTGGACTTTCTTTGCCACCTGACCCAGGCTGGACAAAGAGGCAGTTTGTGGGGTTTTGAGAGAGCAGAGCAGGACTCCTGGTAATAGAGCTCTCATCTTGCTAACTCATCAAGCTTCCTCAGACGCCACCCATCACCAGGGCCCTCCTTCAGCCGGGGTCTGTGATGCAGTGTGGTAACACACATGCTCACTTCTCCTGTGGTTTTTCTGGGCCAGTGGGAAATGGGACGGTGCTGCCTAGCGGTCAGAGAGGGGCAAGCGCAGGAAAGCTCCGAGGCTCGGCTCAGTTCCTGGTTTAATTGTCGTGTAGCTCATACCGTTAGCCCTATCCTGATATCCCATTTTCCCTGCTTCAAATAAATCCATACTTGTTAGGTCATAATTATCAGTGAAGAATCGGCTTTTGAGACAGAAGAGCCGGCGCATTGGGGGAAAATGGAGAAAAGCTTAATTTAAGATGGGCTTGGAGCGCCGTGGTAGAGATTTGACGTCTGAGAGAATAGAAAGCCGTAGAAAAGAGTAAAGCTAAGGAATGACATGATCTGACTTAGTTTTAATGAGATCTTGGATGGATTCTGGATCTATTGTGATGATGGAGCAACTTGTGTATCAGTGTGGAGGGTAGAGAGGAGAGGAACCGAGGACGACTACAGTTGAGCAGCCAGAGGCAGCCAGTGACCTGGAGTTAGAAATGCTCCTTGGGGTTTCCTTGGGAATTGTGCTTTTTTCTGTGTTCAGGGAAATAATGGGGCACACAGGAACTCTGGCCCTCCCACATCCCCAGGTAAGTGTAACCCAGCAAAAAAAAGTAGCTTCTCTCCGAGGCAGTGGTTCCCAGCCTGTGGGATATGAACCACTATGTCTTAGGTTACGTGGCAAAAGGCCTTCGCCTGCCTGGCATAGGATTCTTTTGACTGGAATTGCATTGTATTTTTCTCTAGAAGTAAGGTTTTGAGAACAGTCTAAATTGCATTTGTTGATTTTGGGCAATTAGTTACAATTATAGTCTGCAAAGTTAAGCGATTCCATTTATTCACATGATGGCAGGAGTGAGACCAACATTTCCTCCTTGCTGTTAAGAGTCGCCTCGTTATAATCTCTCAGCTGGGCGGCCACTCAGGGACAGGTGGCACAGGCTGTGGCGTTCATTGGCTCTGGGTTTTAGTGCTGAATTTGCCACACAGCTGCTTGAACAGGATACTCAAACTTTGTGAGTCTTAATGACCAATCCTTGAAAACAGGGTTTAATAATGATAGTACCTACTTAACTGGGTTATTGTAAAGACGTAATAAAATAATGCATGTCCCCTTGTACCTGACACTTGCTGAAGAATCAATAAATGTGGCTGTCATTAACATCGCTGCTCTCTGGCCATCACCTTCCACACGAGACAAGGAAGGCAAAAGAAATTGTGCGTAACTTGTCCCAAATCCCGTGTCTCTTAGTTTCTGCCTCAGATGTTTAAGGGGATAAAACATTTTTAAAAAGTGGTGAATAGCCTTTTTCATTTAGTGCTGTTATGAAAAGTGAATCTTTTTAGAATGTTGTTTTTCCAAAAATGTATCATTTTGTTTTCTTTTAGGATTTGGAGTTCCATGGAGTGATGAGGTTTTATTTTCAAGATAAAGCTGCTGGAAACTTTGCAACAAAGTGTATTCGGGTCTCCAGTACTGCCACCACTCAAGATGTAATCGAAACGCTGGCAGAGAAATTCCGACCTGATATGCGAATGCTGTCCTCTCCGAAGTATTCCCTCTACGAAGTGCACGTCAGCGGAGGTCAGTGTGTGTCTGTCCACTTGGGGCAGTGGGCAGCTCCTCGCCAGCCCCTGCCCAGGTGCATTGTAACCAGCACCGTCGTGCTCCTGGGCGCCTGCCCCTCCTGGCGAGGCTGGGGGCGCAGTGCGCAGGGAGTTAGAAGGGGTGGCATAATTGTATGTGTGCTTATTTCTCCTAAGATAAGCAGCGTGGCATTTCCTGATTAAAATTATCCAGCAGACCTCAGTGTCACATACATTGATAATACAATAGTATGCTATTTGCTTTTGGAGAGATATTCCGTTGTAACTCTTATGTGTAGATTATAATATTACAGGTAATTATAACTCAGTTAAATATTATATGAACATGAGTCATCAGTCTCACTATAATTTGTGGTGTGAAACAGCGTATTTTCATTATTCTTTGGAAGGATAATTAGGGCATCTGGAGGAAACTCGTGTACGTAGTTAGTAATTGCTCCTTGCTTTAATATTTGACATTTCTGAAAATATCCTATATCTGTATCAAATGACAATTTAAGTTGGACTGATTAGAAATGTAGAAATATACATGGATGGGGTAGAGGCTTGATCACTGCGCTGTACACCTGAAGCTGATGTTGTATAATATTGTATGTCAACTATAATTGAATATATATAGTCACGGGACGTGGAGTGTAGTGTGGGAGTGGAGTCAAGGGATTTGTAATAGATATGTATGATATGGGGGCAAAAGGGGGCAGCGGATTGGGGGAGGGGGGTTGTCACTTCGAGGGGTAAAAAGTATAGTGCACTGTGTTGTACAGCTGAAACTAATTTAAAAATGTTTATTTCACAAGAAAAAATCATTCTAGCAATATTGAATTTCCTCAATTTGATAACTGTACTGTGATTATATAAAGAATATTCTTGTTCTTAAGAAAAGCATATTGAAGTGTAAAGGGATAAAGGGCCATGGTGTATGCCACTACTCTTAAATGTTTCAAAAAATAATAGAGAGTGATAAAAAAATGTAGAAATATAAATTTTTATGAGTGCTTTAGAAATGTTGAGTCACCTGTAAAAAAGATCCAATTAATACAGCAAATAAAAGATTATATATAGCACAAACCCAAACTGAATACCTGTTAAGTTCCACCCACAACTCCTTTTTGAACTTACGATTATTATGATTATGATTATGATTTGACTTCAGAAATACAGCTTTCTTTGTACATTTGAAATTGGGCTAAATGTTTTGGTGATGTGTGGATTCATGACCACTTTCTCCTGGGAGTGTGTATGGAAGGCCAGGTTGCTTACTGCTCTGTTAAGGCTATGAGGGTGTCGCCTACAGAAATAATACGCAGACTGCATTGGGCGATAGAGGATAGCCTGCAGTTTGGATGGGTTTCTGAGATTGGTTTTTCTTTTGCCTCAGAGTCTTTGTTATATGGGTTACACATAGCCTCTCACTTCCAGACCCTTTTCTGTCAGCACCGTTTTGGTAATTTGAATACCCCAAGTGAAGTCTTCGCCATAATATGATGCAAGATTGGAATTTGAAATCTAAAATTCCAGTCATTTTGATTTTTTTAAAAAACCGTTTCCTTTAGATTTTCTTTACTTGATTTGTTTTTAATTAAAAAGTAAAATATGTTATTTGTAAGGTATTGAAAACAATAGAGATGTGTAAAGAAGGAAACGGCCTCTCCCCACAGCCGTGAGTAGACCAGCGGGCACAGTCCGGCTCTGTCCTGCCACACTTCCGTGCTCGGAGCAGTGGGCCCACCTGGACCTCCGAGATGAGGAAGGCCCTCCCTACCTAGTGTGCGGAGTCTCCGTCCATTTCAGGGCAGGGAGCCCATAGTGTGTCCGTGGGTTTTTAATGCCCCCCTCCCCTTAGCCAAAGGCAGTAAGTACCTGACGCTTCATTTTATTGAGTAGCTACCATCAGGCAAATTAGTAAGTATGTATACTCTAACAACGTTGTGGCTGTTTGAAGAAATACTGTGCATCAAATGAAAGGAAAACTGCACTTTCCGTTGCGTTCTCATCACAAGCACTCCCTGAGGGTGGGGTGTGTGCCTCTGGGCCCTGCCTAGCTTCCATTTCCTGCCCATGGTGCTTTGGGGCAGTGCTTGTTGATGTTTGCAGCATGTGGAAAACCCAGCTTGTCACCAGCTGTTCCGCCTGCAGAAAGAATGACTGACGTGTGGGCTGGGGGTGCCTGGGGCAGCGGGACGCGCAGCGCCCCACAGGCGGAAGGGTTCCCTCGGAATTTGGAACGCCCCCTCAGCGAGCTCCACTGGGCTCCATTCCGGGCCCCAACCTGTGCTTCGACCCCAGGGCAGCCACTGGGTTCCTTGTGAAATCAGTGGGGGGATAAAAAGGATTCTGCTGTTTAAAACAAGTATGAGAACCACTGAGGCAGATGGTATCTTAAATTGTAACTATATTTACACTGAAGAGTTAGGCACAGTGCCTTAGACTATCTCACCTTGTTTTTGTTTTATGATTTATACTTATTTGTTCTTAATATTAGGTATCAAAAAAACACCCCGTAAGGATTTTTATTTAGCATAAACCTCGCAACAAGAACAACTCAGTTACTTTGGTTTGTAGCAGAATTTCAAATTTCTTTATTCAGTCACTGACTTGTTACTCTGGTTTTCATTTCTCATATTACCAATTGATAAAATAATAACTTAGAAGTTCTTATTCTTGTATGCCGAAAATTAACATTACTGTTTACATACTCATACAGCATTTACTAAAAGGTCTATCTGTCTTTTAAGTTTAAAGTTTAACTCTTGCTTCCTTCACCACAGGAACGCCTCAGCACTGCCTCCTATCTTTGCTGCCCTCATTTTAGCTCATCTTAGGTAGAGTTACCTGGAGGATGATCTTAGCCACCTGTAGGCTTCTAGTAGGTGGCCAGGCTGTGTGGGGCTCTGGGAGTCCCTCAGTGTGCCCAGAGGCCTGTTAGGTTTCTAAGGAAGAAGGAAGTATGACACTGAACTGAGCACTTATCCTAACCAAGAAAGGGGGGGTGTGAGAGTTAAGGATGGTGAGTTTTGGAGACGGGGTCCAGGGCACAGAGGTGGGAAGATGTGCAGTAATCGCTTCCAGGACTGGTGATGGCGGAGCCTTGCCATTCTCGATAGCATGTAGCATAACCAGTGAGGAGGAGAACCTTGTGAATGTTTGCAACCTCTGTGATATGTTAACATTTTCCCTTATTTTCCTGTTGCAGCTGAGATAATTTGAGTTACAGGAGCAGGATTATAGCAAAGTTCTGTATACTTTCTCTTTTCCCATAGTTCGTGTGTATATCTCTTATTTTCCCAGTTAGATTCTAAATGTTATGAGGAGATTGTCCCTGGTCAGTGTCTGCCACTGGATACATGGTACTCGACATATACTAGTGACAAAACATTTAATTATTAAAGCTGTCACCATTTTGAATTACATTTCAGTCTATCAGCAAGTACTTGAGGTAATAAGGTATTTTATGTCTGTAAAATTAAATGCATATCCACATGTTGTATTAGCTAGAGCCATTAATAACCATGGCTTAATTTGTTTTCGTTTCATGTTTTGAAGAAGAAAGAAGATTGGATATAGATGAGAAACCACTCGTTGTGCAGTTGAATTGGAATAAAGATGATCGAGAGGGCAGATTTGTCCTTAAGAACGAAAACGACGCCGTTCCTCCTAAGGTAGGCGCGCCCCTCAGTGTCTTCTGCCCGGCTGGTTCCGGGGCGGGCCTGGCCGGCGCTGACGGTGAAGCGCTCGCCGGCTTCTTCGCTTCTCCTCCTGAGCTGCTCTCACCCTCCTCCCAGAAAGGGCTGGAGATGTATTCCAGCTTCTCGCTGCTTCATCCTGGTTCACCCCGTAACCCCAGATGCTGCTGCTTGCTTTTCAGTTACGCAGACTTCAGTTACTAACGTTTAATGAGCAAGTAATAGCTCCAGTTTTTTCCCCACGTTATAAAGTCAAAATAAGTTTTAATAAAAATCAGAAGGGAAAATAAAACTACAATAACCTATTTATCTGTGAACTTTCAGATACAACTTAATAAGACACATTTCAAACCTTTTTCATATTGTATGTGTAAGTTAGGAATTGGTCAACTTTCTTAGGCTTCTTTGGATGATGATGTAGTACAGTGATTCTAAAACGTCCTCAGGCGGCAGGATGTCTGGAATTTCTGTGCCGCTCTTCTTTTTATGTGAAATACTGTGATATTGATATACTTCGGAACAAACTGGAATTCTGTGTCAAATCAAGTGGCACCTTACACAAGCATTCAGTATTGACCAGTGACAGCCAATGCAGAAGTTAAGGACATTTTGAGAAAAATATTCTATTTAATTTTTTCCCCAACACATTGGGAAAAGATGAAAAGACGGCAGCAGAAAAGTTTTGTTTTGTTTGTGGGATGTCAGTGTCCGCTGCTGAAGAGTCCTGGGCATGCAGAGTGCGTCCTTGGCCTTGCTTGTTCCCGCGCTCACGCGATGTGTTGGGCTTGCAGCGAGCAGCAAATACATATAAATAAGAATGGCTGTGCTCTTTTATTTGTTGTCCATGTTTTATTTCTTTTCTGACCACAATTTCAGCTGATGTGTCTTTTCGTGGCCCACAGACCCTCACTGATATGTGCTAGAACTCTTCCTAGGGTCAGAACACTGCCAAAGTTGCTGGCATAATGTAATGGAAGTCCTGACATTATGTAAGGCAGAAGGCAGTGCTCTTTCCCAATAAAATAACCTTTTTTTATTTTTCTAGATTCTCTACTAGTCAGCCTGTTGAGTTATACAAAAAATAGTTTGTCTCTGTCATCTGCTGGCAGGCCATGTTATAAATGAAGAATAAGCAAACACATAAGATCTGGAAAAGAAATGGAAAGTTTTTGCACAAACTATACTTCTAACTGCTTTATTAAAAGCCATTTTATTATGGCTGCTCTTAACATTTCTTTTGAAGTTAAAAACATCTCTAAAGTAGATAATGATTTACATGCTTCAGTATTTCCATATTTTCATTAGGTTTCTTAATATTTAAATTATTTTATGTATGTTTGGATTTTTATTTATTGAAAATCAGATTTCATGATTCTCACTCCAGTTTTCGCAGTGGATTTAGTTTTTTATTTGCCTACTTGTTGCTTATTAGTTTTGAATGGTGATAAAACTTATACACGGTGAAATGCACAGATATTGACTGTATAATTCATTATTAAGATTTGATGGGTAAACTCATGTAGCTGTCAGCCCAGTCAGACGTAAAGAGCATTCTCATTCCCACATCTCTCCCTGCTCCAGTAGCTTTGCTTTTGGCTGTGGCCTGTGGGATGAAGGGCGCTGAGCCAGAGATGAGCATTAGTGATTCTGTGTCGTAGCCAGCATAGTGATAATGTTACTTTCATCAGAAGGCTCAGAGTAACGGACCTGAAAAGCAGGAAAAAGAAGGCGTTATCCAGAACTTCAAGAGAACTCTCTCAAAGAAAGAAAAGAAGGAGAAGAAGAAGAGAGAAAAGGAGGCAATGAGACAGGCATCTGATAAAGATGACAGACCTCTCCAAGGGCATGACACGTAAGTTAATTCGGTGTCCTCTGGCTGCTGTGTCGGGACTTGCTGCCGACAGTACATGGCATCTCTCTGGACCTGCTAATCTGATTAACAACGCCGTTTTTCCTGAGTAGATTGTGGATGCCAGTGTTTCCTTCATCTTCACCTGGCCTTGCCTTTCATTTCTGCTTTTCTGGTCCTTAAGGCAGCCATGGTTTCTTATGTACCTCAGGTGCGCTTAACATGACCAGAGACTGTCCAGACCCGCGAGAAGAGCAGCTGTCTCCTCTGAGGTTCAGATGCACCATCTAGTTCACTCTAGCTGCATCACCTCCCATTCCTTACTTGTTCCCACCAGCCCGTGCTCGATGTACTTACCTGGGTAAAAATATTTGAGCTTCTGACCTCAGAGCTGAGGGAATAAGGGAAACCATTGCATTTTCATTATAATAGAAGAGAGACATTAGAAGAAACTAGCCTTTCCCTGTCTTATGTGGGAGGCTCCAGGTCTGAATTTGGCCTTGTCAGTTTTTAGTTTAGTTAGTTTATTCAGTTATCCCATGCTTAGGGCTCTTACTTGCCTTGGTGGTGACTGCACAGTGGTCTGTACACTACTTTTCTGTTGCCGAAGTAACAGGCATTCGTTTCCGAAAGGCAGGATATGTAGACTTGCCAGAAGGGGAAGCGAGGTCACCTGTCATCTCAGGAGCCATAGAAGACCGTAGTTTGTTTTTGCTGTACAGATAGACATGCTTTGTATGTTTCTGTAGAGTTTTTAAATAGAAATACAATCACAGTCTCTTAAAACTATAACATCCCACATGACATTTTTTCACTTACAGATATACATATACTTGATATTTCACATAAATATATAGTCGCAAATGTATATTCACAGAAAAATCTATTAATCAATTTAAATGATTGTGCAGTATCCTGTCTGTAGTTTTTCCATAATTTGTGTAGCCGGCCTTCTGTGCACTTGTAGTTTGTAGGTAGTTTATAGGCTTTGGGTATTGTGAAAAGCACCCCAGTGAGTACTTGTTCTACAGCTTCTGGGACTCACCTGGCTGTTCCCTTAGGACCTATTTTAGAGGAGTGGCTTGGTGCCAGCCTGGGGTGCCTCCTTGCCAGATCGCCCTTAGAAAAGTCCTCTGCAGCCCTCTCATGTCCTCGTACCCTCAGAGCTGTTGGGCTTTACAGAACAGTACACTGTCTCCACAGTGTATACTATTTTGAAAAAATGGAATTTATTTTATCATTAGCAAGGTAGGTGTCTCTCTACATGTTCATGAACTACAGTAGTACCCTGGTTTGCGAGCATAATTCGTTCCAGAAACAAACTACTCGTATTGCAAGACATTGCTTGTTTACCAAGTTAAAATGTATTAAAAATGTTTGCTCGTCTTGCGGAACTCTTGCAAACCACATTACTGGCAATCCAAGGTTTTACTGTGTTTAAATTGTTCTGCTGTGATGACCTCTTCAAGTCTTTTTCGTTTTTTATTGATTCTGTGTTCTGTATGTGTTGAGGATATTAACCATTTGTCAGTGAATGATGTTTCCTTTAGAGTGGAATTGGAGCCCACTTTGGATTCACAGTGGATTTAGATACTAATCTGTTAGGCAGTGACGCCTATATAATGAATGTGAAGTCTTGGGTAAAGTGTTACATAGTAAAGCTCTATTGAGTGTAGTTATACAAGAGATAGAACATGTATAAATATATTGCTTATATATGAAAAATACAAAGAAGAGTTTAAAACATGCTGTGGTTTGTTCTATTTATCAATTCAGATTATGGGGTGATCTATTATTTCTGTTAAGAAAACTACTTTAAAGGAGTTAAGTTGCTCATCTTGATTGAATCAAAGCCTGGCTGCTTTTTAATTAAATTATTTTCATGATTAAGAATATCACTTAAAGTATTGTTGTCAAACATCAGTCAAATGTATCAATCTTAATACAGGTCTATGTAGTTTTCAACTCATCATTCTGTACAATTGACTCCTAGTCGTAGGAACCTTTGGAGTACTTTCCTTTTGAAAATTTAGTTTCAAGTAAGTGAACATGGGTAAATCTAGTTAAAAAATCATGCCATTTGAGTTCTTCAAGATTTGCTATATTTTTAAGACATATTTTTACTAAATTAAAGTATATTCAGTCTTCATTTCTTGTAGTTGGAGTGTCATGTCACTCATTTGGTCTGTTTTAGGATGACTGGTGGAAATTACTGAAATTATAATTTATACATTTGCCTTTAGCTTTGTTAATATACAATAATTAAATTATATAAACTCACTATAAAATTTTAACTAAATTTCTGCTTAGTTCAGCCTTTGGTTGTATTGAGAGAAGCTTTACTCTTTATCCACAGTAATTAATTAGTGCATGGTAAATAGTATACCACAGACCTACGTGGGTACAGATGTAATTCCAAAACATCTGCCATTTTGATTTTTGTACAGTTACAATGTAACTTCTACAAAATTAAAAAAATTTCATTGGTGTCTTTTCTTACAGTGAGAATTCTCGGCTGGCTGCTGAGGTTTACAAAGACATGCCTGAGACCAGCTTTACCCGAACGATTTCTAACCCCGAGGTGGTTATGAAGCGGCGCAGGCAACAGAAACTGGAGAAGAGGATGCAGGAATTTCGTAGCTCAGATGGGCGCCCCGATTCAGGTCCATGTTTCCGATTGTTTGCTGTTACTTTTGTTTAGAGGCCACTACTTAATTACACTTCTTATTTAATCGTGAGGCCTTGCTTTAGTTAAGTTAATGGGTGACCTGGCCTGGTAAAAGAAGTGTATCCTATGTGTCACTTCTTTTGGTACAAAATCAGTGTTGGCTTAAGTCTAAGAGTCCTGTTCATATAGTTACATATTTTCCCCCGGATGGCTCTTTTGTCGTTGTTGTTAATTCTGGAAAATTGCAAATATATACAGAAAAAGAGACAAAGATACAATGAACTCCCATGTGCTTATTACGAAGCTTTCATAATTAACAACTCAGATTTCATCTCTACTCCCACATATGTTGCTGCCATTCCTAAACTATTATTTTGAAGCAAATCCCATATTTCTCGTTAGTTCATCTATAAGTATTTTGATACATTTTCCTGTAAGGTAAGGATTTTTCAAAGACAAAACAAGCCACAGCATCATCACATACAAAAGAATTGACAATTTCTTAATATCATCAAATACCTAGTCATTGTTCAAATTTTCCTCATTGTGTCAGATAATCCTTTATCTTGGCTGGTTAATACGTCTTTTTATGCCTTTCTTCCCCAAACCCCCATGCCTTTATTTTACCCTCCAGTTTGCTTAATCCTTGGCTTGTTTTAGAAAAAACCTAGGTGATTTTGTAGACTTGGCCGACTATATCCTGTAGTGCCATTTACCATTTTTTCCTCCTGTTTCTCCATTTCCTCAATCAGATAGAGGTACAGGTTTAGGTTTTGGGGGGGTAAAGAGGTGGGACAGAAATACTTACTTTAGTATCATACAAGTGAGCAATGGTTTGGAAAAAAGTAATGGATTTAGAAGTTCTCACTGTTTACCTCTGTTGCAGTTATTGTCCTTACTGATCTTTGACTTGTCACTGTGAGCCGGTGGGGGTCTCTTCCAGTGGGCACCTGAGTCTTTGGCAAGGTCCCAGTGGTCCTGGGTGGCTTTCCTGTGTCAGAGATTCCGTCCTAGGCTCACCTTGTGCGGCTCCCGCCCAGACCAGGAATGTTGTGTCTTTTGGTGGGATAAGCATTTGGTTGCCAGGCATGCTCATGGCTGCTTGGTTTTGCTTCAAAGCCCACTGAGTGGACAGAACTAGGAAACGCTTTTTTATTACTACTTTGGTTTTAGAAAATCTGGGTATCTTTTTTTCTTACCATAAAATTTTTTCTTCCCCACAACATAATTATTTGCTTTTTCCTATAATATATAGTAATAATATCAAAATAAGTATAATGCTATTACAGTTTTACTAACAAAATGATACTGAAAATATTTTAAACTTTTTGTGAAATTTTTGTTTGTGAATATATCCACAAAGATATACTGTCAAATTGTATGATTGATTCCTGTCTGTATGGCTATATACCAATATTGATTTCTAGTTAGGTTTATTTATTTTGCTTTTGATGCTAGAGGTTTGCTTCTTTAAAATCCAACGTTGTTTAATAGCTTCTAAGTCAGATCTACAAAACAGGGTCCATTGGAGAAGCCTGGCTTTTGGTCCCTGCCAGTCCCTTGCCGCGCCCTTGTTTTCTCACTTGCCAGCACATCCTGGAGATGATTCTGTATTTTTGAGTGAAGAGAGTTAAAGCACATGACTTGACTACTTGAGCTATAAATTGGTTTTGTATATGTTTAGCTATTTGACATAAAGCTTTTATTTGTAATTAACCTATAATTGTATTCAGCGAAGAGAATACTTGTTATAAAGTACTAATTAGTTATAAATTAGTTTTACTTGTTAAAAAATAGTAGCATAATCATTTGAGTTTCAAAAAAAATCATTGTATTAGAGGGCTATCTCACTGATCCAGCATTTCCTAAAAATGTCTGACCTAATATGTCCTCAGTTCTTTTCTTTTATGGTGTCACATTTAGGTGCTTCATCACACTGCACCCTGTACATTAACTTACTAGTTTTGGGTTTTGAATGTTGGGACTGGCAGTGTTTCTATAAAGCCTCATTTAAAACAGCTTGGGCTGGGAAGGTTTGCTTAATTGTGGACCCCTTCTCTTGAGTCCAGGCCTGAGTGGCCGGGTGTCAGTCCCCCTCAGATCGCATTTATGGCTATAATCCAGTTACACATATGTGGCCGTGGGTCAGACCCATCAAAGGGAAGCTGTGTTTACACTCAAGTTATAGACATGGGAACAGCGTTATTCTGTATTTTCTTGGTAGTCTCTCTTGCCTCCATTGTGAGGTCGTCTGTGTACCTGGTTCTGAAATATGTGGTCACTTCACCTTGCCACCATGACAGATGGCCCATGACCCCTTGCTTCAGAGCTTCTACAGAGTGTCATTCATGTTTCAGTGAGTGTCCATGCCAGGCAGCCACTGGTCACAGCGGAGGCTGCCCTCGAAACTTACTGGCCACCCTAGTATCACAAGTTTATTTTGACCCTCTAAGCCCTTGTAACTGAACCTTCATTATCTATTTCACAGGAATTGTAGTATTAGTGACTCAAACTAGGAGACTATTAGTTCCATAAATAATCTAATAGATTACTCTTGAGACCCAAGTTATTATCTGCATATAATATATATATATAATCTCCTACCTTGTTCAAGGATATGAAGTGACTTACAAACATATGCACTAAAGAGAAAATAAGGAGAAGAGTGAGAAAATACGAAGGTAAAATGTCTAGAAGGGACACGATGAATGCTCGTCGATGCCTGCCATGTGCCAGCCACGGCCCCGGCCCCACGTGCACACTCCCTCCCCCCCCCCTCACACGCAGCTCCACGCACAGCTGCGGGCTTCTCCGTGCTTCCTCCTTCCACTGAAGAAACTCTGAAGGCAAGACCTGCTCTCAGCCAGCGTCTGACGGCCTCCCTGTGCGGAGCTCAGCCTGCCCACCCTGGCCAGCGACCCCCGGACTTACCCAGTCGTACACTGCGGTGGCACTTGCTAGTCCTGTGCCCCGAAAGCTCTTTGGGTGGTCACACTGCTGCTTGTCATGCAGGGCCCATGACAGACGCTGGCTCTTCAGAGCAGCCTTTACCAGCCATGCAAGGTCAGGATGCTGGTATTTTTCAACATGGACCACTGTCTTCAGTTTTATTTGTGTTCCTGTTAGTCTGTTCCCCCAGCATCCCACAACTCAAATGCAAGCTGTTTGAAGGCAAGGTCACTGACCCGGTCATTGCTGTGTCCTCAGCATTGGGCCAGTGGGGGCCTCAAGCCATGGGGCTTTGCATGTGGTCAGAGGTGTTGACGGCCTGGCTCCTGGCCTGAGCCAGCAGGTCTGCACTACGATACTAGCGTGGACTGGCTGATTTTTCAAAAGACAACATTATTTTCCTGTGAGTCCAGCTGTCAAAATGCAGTCCATGCCAGACTTGTTGAAAAAGAGAATATAAGAAATGTTCGGTAGCCAGAATAACTGCCTAGAATTAAGAAAAAGCAAGGAGTCGTGGAAACTTAGAACGTGTGTTAGGAGATCCACATCTCTTTTAGTCTAGCTCTTTTAAGTTGCAGGTGAGAAAAGGAGAAAGCTTACCCAAGGTCACACATAGTAGAGGGCATGTGAGGCCTTACTGATCTCCCCTGGTATTCTTACAGCTGTACTTATGATGTTAGGATGTTAGGGCTTATATTAGGTCTTCGGAAAAGTCATGACGCATGTGTGCAACAGATGGCACTAGTTCGTTTTTGGAAGTACTAGAGTCATTCGCATCTAAGTTATTGCTATGTCATTTGACAGCTGACAGTTCCACCTTTATTCTAAAAAAAAATTTGAGCGATTTGGTTGAGTTTTGGAGATTTTACAAGTTGAAAATAGAAGACCAAACTCTGTATTTTGCCATATTTTACTGTTTTACTTCCATAAAGGGAAGAATGCGCATCAACCTTGTGAAAAGTTGCATAAAGTTTACAGTGACAATGCTCTACAAGAACGGTGATGCCAACAGTGGTTCACGAAATTCCGTGCTGGTGATTTTGATCTCAATGATGCTCCTCGGTCAGGGTGGCCCACCAAGGTTGACAACAACAAAATAAAGGCATTGATCAAGTCAAACCCACATTACACGACATGAGAGATTGCAGAAACATTGAGCATCCATCATTCAAGTGTTCATGACCACCTGAAGAAGCTGGGATACATAAGCAAGCTCGATATTTGGGTTCCACATGAACTCAAAGAAGTTCATTTGACGGTGCATATAAACATCTGCAATATGCTCATTAAACTTGATGAAAACAACCCTTTTTTTTTTTTTTTTTTTTTAAGCCGAGCCATCCTGCCACCTGTTGGCAGCTCAGCGGCTGCTCAGCTCGAGGCGGAACTCAAACCACTGTTGCTCAGAGCTCAAACTCTTGAGCGAGCTCTTAACCAACTGAGCCACTCAGCCGGCCCTAAAAAAAAAAAAAAACAACGATCCTTTTTTAAAGTGAGAAGTGGATTGTTTACAACAATGTGTGCGCAAACAGTCTTGGTCCTGACGTGATGATTCGCCTCAAATGACATCGAAAAAAGACATTCATCAGAGGAAGGTTATGCTCTCAGTGTGGTGGGATTTTAAAGGTGGTGTGTTTTTCGAGCTCCTACCAAGGAACCAAACAATCAATTCAAATGTGTACTGTCGGCAATTGGACAGTTTGAACGAATCCATCATCCAGAAACGTCCTGAGCTTGTTAATTGTAAAGGAGTTGTGTTCCATCATGACAATGCGAGACTACACACAAGTTTGATCACCCATCAAAAACTACTGGAGTTTGGATGGGATGTGTTCCCACACCCACCATTCTCGCCTGACCTTGCGCCGTCAGACTTCCACTTGTTTCGCTCTCTTCAAAACTTTTTCCGTGGTATAACATTCAATTCAGATAAGGCTGTAAATTGGCACCTTGTTTAGTTTTTCGCAAGGAAAGATAGGTTCTTCTATGAACGAGGAATTATGAAGCTCACTGAAAGGTGGCAAAAGGTTATCAAACAAAACGGGCAATATATCACTGATTAATCTTTGTTCTTTATATAAATAAATGACCTTTGAAAAACATAGACGTAAATTGTAATATGGCTGCAGGGATAGAAAAAGACAGTCCGAGGAATACAATCAATAATGTTGTAAGTATTTCTTAGGGGGCCAGATGGACCCATGTCCTTTTGGGGAGTCCACTTCATAGTTGTAGAGGCCTGACCACCGCATTGTATTTCTGAAACTGATGTTGAATAATACTGTATGTCAACTATAATTATATATACATATAACCTCGGGACATGGAGTAGAGTGCGGGAACGGATTCAATGGAATTGTAATAGATAAGCATGATATCGGGGGTGGGAGGGCAATAGATGGGGGGAGGGGGGTTGTTACTTTGTGAGGGTGAAAAGGGTAACTATTGCATTGTTTTGTACACCTGAAACTAACAATAAAAAATAAAAATAAAAAAATCTTCCCGAAAAAAAAAAACATAGACGTATATGTCATGACTTGTCCGAAGACCCAGTAAATCTTAGATCATCAGTAGAAAGCCAATTATGATACAAAAAATGGCAATAATATATGAGGTGTGACAATTAAGTTTGCGAACTTGTTGCAGCGATATTGCTAACCTTCTTTGATATCAGAGGGATTATTCATTATGAATTTGTACCAACTGGACAAACAGTTAACCAAGTTTACTATTTGGAAGTGCTGAAAAGGCTGCGAGAAAAAGACGACCTGAACTTTTCGCCAAAAATTAATGGCTCTTGCATCATGACAATGCACCAGCTCACATGGCACTGGCTGTGAGGGAGTTTTTAGCCAGTAAACAAAGCACTGTATTGGAACACCCTCCCTACTCACCTGATATGGCCCCCAATGACTTCTTTCTTTACCCGAAGATAAAGGAAATATTGAAAGGAAGACATTTGATGACATTCAGGACATTAAGAGTAATACGATGACAGCTCTGGTGGCCATTCCAGAAAAAGAGTTCCAAAATTGCTTTGAAGGGTAGACTAGGTGCTGGCGTCAGAGCATAGCTTCCCAAGGGGAGCACTTTGAAGGTGACCATAGTGATGTTCAGCAATGAGATATGTAGCACTTTTTCTAGGGTGAGTTCGCGAACTGAGTTGTCCGACCTCGTATACATAGGATTCCGTCAAAAAGTGTATACAAACAAAAAAGAAAACCTCTGGATAGCCACATCACTCTGCTCTGGTTGATTTTCCCCAAATTAGTCCACAGCTAGAAGTGCCATTCTGGTATGCAGCGCCTGGAGGTAAAAATGAGCCCCGTGCTGTCCTGTCAACTGCCTTTCGGAACAACTCAGTACCCAAGCACCTTGGGTTTCTTGATGCCTAGCTCAGGTTTTTAAATTGATCTTATTCAGTGGGGTTAATATTTAACTTTCACCAGGGTTTTTAATTTAAGTTTCAGATAGATGATCAGGAAGTAGAGAAAATGGGGAAATAGGTAGATAATGATGTACGAGTGTAAGTAAGGAAAGGCGAAAGCAGTTGGAGAAAGAGCAGCACTGTCAACAGACTCTAGAGTTGCTTCCTTTTTCCATCTATTACCCATCGTGGAAATGAGTTCAGCATCATGAACACTTCTTTGTCTTGAAGAGAGGACGGAAGTAGACTTTGTCACATAGGATGCTCGCTGGAGCAAAGTGTCGCGAGATGAACAGGTTGCTGCTGATGTATGCCATGTCACAGGAAGTGAAGGTGGTGTTGTGTACACCCATTTTTGCACGCACTGCGGCTGGGACTGAGCTGTCCTTTTCTTAGGTGATGGAAACTAGCTGTCTCTGTTAGCGGATAAAATAAAGTTGTGCTGAAGGACATCTCGTGTTTTTCAGGTGGGACGCTGAGAATTTATGCAGATAGTCTAAAACCAAATATCCCCTACAAGACCATCCTGCTGTCGACGACAGACCCTGCGGACTTCGCAGTGGCCGAAGCTTTAGAGAAGTACGGTCTGGAGAAGGAAAACCCGAGGGATTACTGCATTGCCCGGGTAAGCAGCTGTCGAGTTAGTACCGAGGGATAACTGTTACCATTTTGATACGTATCATTCCAGTTGTTATTGTGCATCTGTAGGTAACTTTATTTTAGTAAAATCTGCCTTAATGATGTTTTCATATGGCTTTTACTAAGATATGGCATGAAGATTCAAGTTTTAAGGAAATTTTCAATTTGCTATTCAGAGCTAACCAGCATTTGGTTGATACGGTTCATAGCCATTCATAATGTCTTGCAGATAAGAGTGTCTCCTGGTGTATGTAAATCTATTAAATAATAATCCGTTCCACAAAGTTGCATTTGAGATGGTATGTAAGAATGAACTTTATAATATTTTTTCCTTTCAGTAACTCTGCCTCCTTTTACAGATGAAAACCAGAGACTGAAAGAACACCTCAATCAGGGTCATGAGGATATGAGAGCCTTCTTTGGGCTTTGACAGTCCCTGTGAGGTCATTTGATGATTTCGTTTGAGGCTCTCCTGGCTTTGGTTTTCTGTTTTGTTATGTCCTTGGCAGTTTCTGTTGCAGGCCTAGGCCATACAAATCAAGAGCTGGTTATTATTGTAACTTTGAATTCAACATTCTTTGTTTTCTTGGCTTGCCATCTCATAAATTATGTAATATGTAGCTCTTTCATATAAATCTACTCTTATATCTATTCTAATTAATTATTCAATAAATAAGTTTCTCTTACTTGTTAGATGCTATGCTGGGCAGAAAAATAAGAGCTGCCTTCAAAAGAGCTTGTAACAAAGGGAGACGGAGAGGCCAGAATGGGAACTACAATACAAACGGAGCTTTTAAACTAGAATGGAGGTCGGAGAGGGCTTCCTGGGGGAGTTGTGGGTAGATGAGTGCGTGTTATCTAGACACGAAAGTTGGGGATCAGGCCTTTTAGCCACAAGGGATCACGGGAACATGAACTCCATTGCCTAGTCGGAGAGCTCTGAGGCGTCCATGGGCCTGGGTCTAGAGCGGTACCTGACCCAAGTCTGAGACTTAAGATAAATGCATATCAGATCCTGAAGCAGTGTATATTCTAAGCCCAGGATGATAAATTTAATACAACAAGCTATGAAGAAAAATTGATTACTTTATATAAGGGTGTGTTATAATAAAGAACTTTTTTATGGTAATTCGAAGCAATGTAGACAGAAATAATAGGGTTCTCTAGAAGAGTCTAATCCATTTGGTGTATGAACAGATGACAGTTGGGTGGTAAGGTCTATTAAGATAACATTATTACATTAACTGTAGGTTGAAAATGATGTTTAGATGCCAGAGACTTGGCTGCGTATATTTTCTATAACCCTGTTTCGGTTCGTGTTAATACCAACTTAGAATAAAGGCAGAGCAAAAGTTAAGAAATTACCAGTTAAGCATTACACATTGTCCTTCCATATAAAAGTTTGTTTAAAAAAAAAACACAAAAACCCAGATTAGTTCTTTTGGGGGTCCAGAGAAGCAGGTGAATAAAAACTGCCCAAACTGGCTAAGCTTTTTATTGGAAACTATTTTCCTTCACTTTTGTTGATGGTTTAGTGAGAATTGTTGATAGTGTTTGATCCGTTTGATTTTACAGTGACTTCTTTCCCCAGAAACAATAAATTCTTCCCTTAAATACATTAATTTACTTTTTAGGGCTATCACAGTTAATTCTTTTTTATTTTTAGGTTATGCTTCCTCCTGGAGCCCAACATTCTGATGAAAAAGGTGCTAAAGAAATTATCCTTGATGATGATGAGTGTCCTTTACAAATCTTCAGGGAATGGCCAAGTGACAGAGGTAAAGAGTCATTTCATTTGTTAAAGAATTTCTTCTATGATTTGTTAACTCTCTACCTGATAACCAGTTGCTGAATTTATCAGAGGATGTGCCCGAGTGTGCATGGCACTATTTTTTGACGGCTGTTTGCTGTACAGTGTTCTGTGTCCACATTAGACCTGCTTGGCGGTTCCTAGGCAGGCCCTTTCTTCCGAGGGCCACACTCAGCCTGTGTGAGTCGCGCGTGTAGACCTGGGACAGACTGTCACACTACAGTGGGGGGGTAGCATGTCTTGAAGAAGCCAGACTTTAGCCCTGTGTTAGCACGTGGAAGGTCACATTATCTGTCCACAGTCTTGGGATCCTTCCTATGCTGACCAGGTGAACTGGGCGGTGCTGGGACAGGTTTGTTATCATAGGGGAGATAACCAGCCACCCTAAGGATTGTCCAGTCATCCATTTAGTTAGTTCAGAAACGAGGCCAGACTTTTCACTATTCAAACCATTTCCTCTTTCAAAGCAGTGGAAGTTTAAAGCTATATTTTTGGTGAAGTACAGTTTTCTTGATTTCAGATTCACTTTCTAAGTTAACTGTTGCTCAGTAGAAAGCCTTTGCACTAATAAAGACATAAAGATTTATTGCCAGTTGAATATTTATTGCCAGTTGAAAGATTTATCAGCACTTGAATATAAATTGGCAGTTTTAAAAGTACACTTGTTTAGTACTTTTTCTAGACAGTATTAAGTTAATTTATTAAATGTCAAATTCCTTTGAATTCTGTGTTAATTCAATTGAATTAAATTGAAGTCAGATCAACTAAAATATATTTGTATATGTGTATTTGTGTGTGCTTGTGTTTTGTGTGTGTGTGTGAGAGAGAGAGAGAGAGAGAGAATATATTGATAGTAGGGTTGATGATAGGGTTGTTCACCAATAGAAACATTCATTTATTCTTAAACTGATGTGTTATTTTTCAAGCATGTGATGTAAAATAACGTTCATAAGTTGCTTGCTAGAGTTTCTCAGAACCCATCAGGAGACTAATATTTCCTCTATTGAGTAAAAGTATAATATGGGTGAGCTTTCGCACAGTTAGTCCTGGGGAGATGTTAACTGGAATACATTTTCTTGACAATGTATTTAATGTAACTAATCTTTGACTAGTTGACTCTAGTCAGCTGGCCGTCTACACTAACTTGAGTCTGGTTCATAATTTACGATGTTACTGCTTTAGGGATTTTAGTCTTTCAATTGAAGAGGAGGCCGCCAGACTACATCCCAAGGAAAACAAAGAAGCCCGTGGACGGGAAACCCGTGAAGGGTAAGGACAGAGCCGAGGGGTCCGGCTACGGCTCTGCACTTCCGCCTGAAAAGCTGCCCTACCTGGTAGAGCTGAGCCCAGGTGAGGACTGTAAGAATGGTCATTTCTTAGCTTTAAGTGTTGTTCATACTTTCTAATGAATTTTATTTAAGTAGTCTTCTTGGTGGCCCACAACCTTTTTTAGACCATTTATTTTAAAAAAAAGAAAAAGTAACCCTCATGAGATGACATTTATTTTAAAACTCCAAAACCTTAAGGTCATAAGATACATACTTTCATGCAAAAAAATAAAGTTCACATAGATAGAAATCAAAATTGAAAAAAGTTAAAATAGTGAATATAGAGATTGAAGAAGAGGTTTAATTGATCTACTCCCTTTAAATTTTTTTTTTCCCCCCTCAAAATAACCTTGTAAAATACTTAATCTCCTGAAAGTGACAAACTGAAATGTCCTCCTCTTTGGGCAGATTTAATAGAGGCAAGTGTGTGTGTGTTTTATCATACCGCCATGTGATGTATGAATGGTTGTAGAAAAGAATGCCTTTAAATTTAACAGTGCATTTGAGAAATCCACCTGTAAGAGGAAGGTGTTTGTTTGGCTTTAAAGCGATCATAGACTAAGTTTGTTTCGTGTTAGTCCTCTATTTTGCTTAGAGAGCTCTCGTAAGCCAAAGCTGTTGTTACAAGTGAGCTGCCAGGTAGTGAAATGCACCATGGGCATTCTTAAAGGACCGTTTTATGCACACGCGTCCCTATGTCCCATACATACCCGCATGTGTATGATGGGTGTGGCAGCGGATTTGCTTTTCATTTAGCTGAACTACACCCTTTCTCATTTATTTGATTAAAATGGTAACATGTGACCTGGATTATAACGCTGTGTGAAGGTAGACTCTTGCACCCTTCCCTGCAGAACTGTTTTTATATGAAGCTCAATTAGTAGGTACAGAAAAAGTTAGCTGAAGGTTAAACTGCATATGTAGGTGTAATCTCTTGTTCCTTCGGCAGGAACCACATTACTCTCTCCTTTGAGTCTTCAGTGTTTGTTTGTTTCTATTTACAAGATTGTACCTAATGATTAGATATGGCCCAACTCGGTTATGTGGGTACAGGAAACGGTGTTGCTCTGACTGGTGCCATGGTTCCCTTGCAAGGCAGTACTCCACAGGTGGTGGTTTTATACAGCTTACATCTGAGGGCTTTGAGGTGGGCAGCTGCTTGTGAGGAGTCTGTTAGTGTGGCTACAAAGGCCATTGAAGCTTTGGGTTTCTCATTAGGTTTGGAAACCTGTCCCAGTATTACTGTGTGTGGACAGTGGGAGCGTGTTGGTGCCTGGTCGTCAGAGGTGCTGAGTAACAGCTGGGAGACAGACAGCCATTTGTTTTTGAACTTAAAATTTTTCAAGGTCTTTGGGCATCAGATCTGTTCTTTAAAATTTTTCATGACATGCTAGAAACTAATTGTTTTTTTCAGACCAAAATTTTTGAGGATTTAGGAGTATTATATTAGTTCAGAGAGGATTGATAAATAGTAGCTGACCTAGAATAATTTTCAAGTGAATAATGGAAAGTTGGTTTGGGTGGGTAGCAGAGAAAGGATGAGAATTCATTCATTCATTCATCTGACAAACAGTTACTGAGTACTTATTACTTGTCAGACATTGTTCTGGGCCTTGGAGATAGAGCACCAATGAAACAGACGAAACCCCCTGACAGTCTAGTGAGGATTGCTGTTTTGACTGCTTCTTTCATACTTACAGCCCCCAAAGTGATGAAATATGTAAAGTTTTTGTAGGTGTGGGAAGATCCTAGAGTCTAGATACGTACATATTAGTCCTGTACTGCTTCTCACTGAGTGTTGGCAGCATATGGTACGTGCTTGTGAACACACCCCCTTCTGTCAGGGCGTTCTCCCTGCAGCCAGCATTCGCCAAGCTGCTGTGGGACGCTAGGCAGTGGGCAGAAAGGTGAACTTGGCTGCTGCTTTCCGGTGACTGTCAGGCCGAGAGCCATCAGTATGATGCAGTGTGATGAGTCCTGGGGGCCGAGTCCAGCGGGCTTCCCCCCTGAGGATGCGGGCCTGCCTGCTGGGCAGCTTCACCTGTCCACAGACTCACATCCCCTCCCGCTGTCTAAAGGGCGAGCAGGTATAACACTGGGCTGTCGGAAAAGTCATGGTGTGTTTTTGCAATGAAAAACAGAAAAAATACGCTGTGACTTTTCCGATAGCCCAATAGTTGTGGCAGCCCGGGTGCTGGGCCAAAGCTTTACATCACAGCCATGTCCTTTTCATGGGTCATGCTGTCTCCTTCAGTTTTCCTTGTTATTAATTGGGCACAGTCAGCATGCTGAATGAAATGGACTCATTTTCCATTTACGCGCAGAGAATATTGATAAATGCTGACGTGCTGTGAATGGATGTGACTGTTTCTCCACTGCCCAGGGGGTTGGCTAAGCATATCATCCTGGAGGTTGGGCCAGGTCCTGGAGTTGCGTGCTGGACGTTTCTGCGATGCAGGTGTATGCTTACACTGTCTTGTGTAGAAATGGGGGTAAAAAGTCATTTTATTCTCTGCTTTGGATTTGACTGTGTCCTTTCCACAGAAAGACCAGCCGAGTGGGGTGGTGGTCTCTCCACGGCTGACTAACCGCTGCTCTCCTGCTCGGTGTTCCCTAACAGTCTGCACTGGTTTCTAACACACGCTGTGCCCACAGCACTGTCGTCTTGTCCTCACAGTTTTGAAAGCTGGGGGGTGGAATCCACGCTCCGGCCTCTGAGAGTGGTCTCACTACAGCTCACCCTCTCTATCTCTCCTCCTCCCCTCTCCACGTGTTCTGCATGGCCTCTGTCCCGCTGACGCTGCCTTCACCTGGGTCCTGTGCATGTGTGTGTAACCCAGGGAGAAGGAATCACTCTGCCTACTACAGCTCTCACACTTCCGAAGGTAATGAACGCTATGCTTCCTCCTACTTTGTTAGCTAGAGCACCAGCGGCCTCCGGGCAGAAGAGTGGTCACCACCAAGTAGCTAATGCATTCGGTTTTGAACTGATGCAGATAACTTATCATAAGGAATTTAACGTACTGTCATTCTAGTCGTATCTGCTAAGTATGCCATTCCAGAATTCATTTAATGTAATAGAAGCTTATTTTGCAAAAATGTCCAGCTCCTGTATTTAGGCTGTCTTAGGTGAGAACTTGGACTAAAGAAGGGAGGGCGCTGTTTTCCTGCCCTTCCCCTCCTCCACCCAAAAAGGTTAGGAAGAGGAAGAAATAAGGGAAGGAGGGGCAGGGACCGAGGGAAGAGAGAAGGAGAATGTTGGGGGTGGGAGAGACAGACAGACAAGAGGGGCCATTTTGTTGACCACTGTCAGGTAATCTAGTGACATCGGTTGGTGGGAAGAAGTGTCCCAAATCAGAGGCCATGTGTCTGAGACTCCTAAGGAGGAAAAGAGCAGGCCACACACTTGGAATCCACTCCTGTTTATGGTCCTTTCTGTAGGGCACTAGCTTTCATCATGACCAGGTTTTAGATCGTTGTTAGGGTTCGCTGTTCTCTTGGTTGGTACTCGTTTCTTCTTGTTAGGAATGCTGTACTTTCTTACTTGGAATATATTTCTCAAATTTTGTGCATCTCAGTCTTTGTCATCTGAAATAGTACCAACAGCTAGTTGGTTTTATGGAAACACTTCCTTTTGTCTGTTTTTATATTTGAAATGTTAATTTTTTGCATGTTGAATATAGCAGTCAAATACTTCCCCATGCTATATAAAATTTGCTTACCTTCTAACATCTTATAGTAGTTGCATTTTCTCCAAACCGATCATACAGATTTTCATTGGATATTAACCAAACTTGGAGTTTGGGGTTTTTTTTTTGTTTTTGTTTTTTGTGATTTTTTTTTTTAAAGATTTTTTTATTGGGGAATTGGGGGGATGGGAACAGTGCTGGGGAATTGGGGAAAGGAGAACAGACAAGTTGCTGTCGTTTTGTTCTTCAATCTAGTTGTGGAGGATGTTGCTTCACTGGCCCAAGTTGGCACCATCATTGCGCTCTTCTCTGGTGA